TCCGTGGAAAGTAGTACTCCGAGAGTACCTGCTTAACATTTTCCTGTGCAGACCTATGGGCCCTATTATGCTCGACTGTGAGGATTTCCCTTCCTTCTCCAACCGCAAATATGTCCACTACGCGATTTTTGCAATGCCAGAACTTTGTGGCTGGGTATCTTCGCACCAATGCATCTTGTATCATTGCAAGCGTGTGTAAATTACAGTGGAGAGCATTTACGCATTTGGGTGAGACTACATCTTCGAGCTCGTCTAGCAGCGATTCGACGCATGTATAGCTGATCAAGTAGCGTTTCTTATTTCCAAAAAGAATAAAACTTCGTTTTAAGGGGAAACGCGCCTCTTCTAGCACTATCTGGTTTTGAAAACAGTTCAAGGGTTTGTCTGTCGTCTCAATGGTGTTGGTGAGAGATACCTCACTGTGGATCGTTGCTGCGCAGGACTCAATTTCTTGCTCATTTATAGCGTTGAGCTGCTGTCTTGACAAGGCATCCGCAACCAGATTGTCCTTGCCAGGTTTATAGAAGATACGTGCATTAGACTCGTCAATGCGCGCTTTCCACCTTTTGATTTTCGCATTTGGATTAGATTCCGAAACTGCGAAGGTCAAGGGTTGATGGTCAGTGAAGATATTAATGTCTTTCACCCCATACAAATAGTGCCTTAATTTGGCAAGTGACCATACAATGGCCAATAACTCTCTCTCATTGGTTGCATAGTTAACCTCACTGTCCTTCAATGTTCTTGAAATCATTGTTATAGGACGACCCTCTTGAGACAAAACTGCACCTATGCCGTGAGCCGAAGCATCGGTCGTTAGATCGAATGGCTTCTTAAAATCGGGGTACCTGAGCATTACATTCTCGGATGACAAAATATCGCGCAACTTCTGAAATGCCCTCTGCTGCACTTCAGAGAATTGAACCTTTATATTTCTGGACCTATGCTTACTGACTGTTCCATTTTCACCCTTCAGGATATTCGAGATGGGTCTTGCTATTGCGGCGAAGTCCCTAATGAAACATCTGTAATAACTTGCGAGGCCTAGAAATGATCTAACCTCGAACAGCGTTTTTGGTTCTGGATACTCCTGTATTGCCCTAACCTTTTCAGGATCCGTCGTGGTGCCAGTGCTGGTGACTACGAAACCAAGAAAGTTCACGCTTTTCTTAAAAAAACGTGACTTTTTGACGGAGACCCTCATGTTTGCTTTGTATAAGCTTTTTAGGACCCGATCCACGTGTTTAATGTGGGATTCCTCATCTTCTGAAAAGATGATTACGTCATTGACATCAACATAGCAAAATTTGCCAATCTGCTCTCGCAGTATGTCGTCGATGGTTCTTTGAAAAATGCTTGCTGCATTCTTTAATCCAAAGGGGAGTCTTTTGAACTCGTATTTCCCCCCGTTCACAGAGAAAGAGGTTTTTTCACGGTCGCGTTCAGCGAGTATGATCTGGTGATAACCAGACTTGAGGTCTAATGTTGAAAAGAATTTGGCTCTCCCCAAATTCCCCAATATCATTGATATATTTGGCATAGGGTATTTGTCCGGCACGGTTTTTTCGTTAAGTTTACGAAAGTCCATTACCAACCTCATTTTCCTATTGCCCGCTTCATAAGTGCCCTTCTTGTCTACTACCCATATTGGGTTATTGTAGGGAGAGACGGACTTTTGAATTATATCATTCTTTAGTAGATCTTTGATTTCTTTATTAACGAAATCAGCCGCTCCCATTGGATATGGGTAAAGCTTGGTATAGATCGGTTGCTCATCTATGGTCCTAATGGTAGCCACGACTGATGTGTTATACGGCAACGTCTCGTCTGGGTCTGCAAAGGCCTTTTGTCTGGTCTTCAGCATTTTCAAAAAAGAACTTCTAACTAATGGGGATGCATCTGCTATTTGTTCAGCTAACTCATTAATTCTTTGAGTCAATGCATGCTCCCTCTGCTGGTTTACAGCAGCCTGTTCGGCTAAAGCTTTGCTGATAGCCGTCCTTATTACTTCCGTAAGCTGATCTACATCCATTCTACCTGATGGTGGGAGAACTGCACAGTCGGAATCTGAGTCGCTAGACTGCCTGCGAGGGTTTCTCTATTGGTTGAACCGAGACATGCGCAGGTCAGTGGTCGCGAAAAATAAAACGGGCCGTCAGAAGATGGGTCGAATTACGTCGCAGTTCTGAACTACGAGAACTGCATGCACAACTTCAGACACACAGAAAGTAACACAATGTAATTTTATTGACGATCTGAATGATCAATTGCTGCCACTAAAATTCCCAAAGTAGTCACTCTCACTTGGTTCTGATCATTAATTTTTTTTTTTTTTTTACATGCAATTGCAATATAAAATACTCGCTAGTCCTAGCTATTTTTTTATAAAATAAATTTTAACACTTTTTGTGTTTGAAGAAAAATTTTGGCTAGAGTATCCACTTACAAGATTCAACTAACACAAAACAAAAAAAAAAAAAAAATCCCTTTATAAGATCTGTCAATTGCAGCTCCCGCGCTGCTGTCTTAATTGTTGTTGGTTGTGGAGTCCGACCACTAGTTGGGCGCCAATTATATGTTTTCCAGTCCTGTGGTGACTGAAAGTTAGGTTGAGAGGCGACTGTGCCTCTTATTGCTGGCCTCGGGCTCAGACAATGAAATAAGCCATTTAACGAGCAAATGACGGAGTGAATATTTATTTAAGCGGTTTACTGGAAGAACGCTTTTTAACCCTGCTTTTAATTGTTCTTTTTTGAATAATCGAAACAGTTAATTTTATTGGTTTTTCTTATTATATTCACTATTTTTAGTTTTACTTATATGACACCAATTTTTAGCATGTCCTATCAGTACGAGTTAAAACACGAGACTAATCTATATTTTTACAAATCATAGCCTCACCGGCGTAAGTAGAGTTGCTCTTGCCAGGGCTGTTCCTTAACTTGTCTAGCACCCGATAATAAGTGTTGAATAATACCTTATATTAAGTGTTATAAGCTAACTAAGTGTTATAAGTTAACTTATATATATATATATATATATGTTAACTTTTAAAGGTTTTATTTCGAATTTGAGATATATATGTATAAAGTTTTTGATTGATTTGCTGCTAAATAGAAAGTTTCCTGCCCAGACTACAGATTGGTATTTGGTAATCAAATTAGCTGTCTGACTTTAAGCCTATTACTGCATATTATTTATTTAACAAATTTTGTAGTGCTATCTATTTAAAGTGGTTCGCAAAGCTGTGCCACATTACAATCAGAATTTAATGAAATCCTTTGCATATTATTGTTGTTGAGCATAATTTGGAATGTTTTGTGATAGGGACTTGACTTGTCCAGGTCGGTGCTATCTTAGCTGTTGGACAGGATTCAGCTCTGTTTGGTTTAAATCAAACTAAGTAAGGAGATTACAACTGTTGTTGGCTTCATCTGATGTTGCTGTTGCTGTTGCTGTTGCCCTCCTTTTGTTGCTCGACAAGCTACATACATGATTATTTATGCATTGGCCTAGGCGCATGAGGTCTGCATATGCTTCTCTCTGGTTGTTGTGCAGCTATGTGTGGGTTTAATGCTAGTTGTGTGTGTGTGTGTTTATGTGTGTTTGCCATTTCGACTTGTCTTTGTGTGCGTGTGTGTTTGGGTGCGGTTTCTAGCTCTCGCCCAACGCCTTGTTGCCTATTAAATGCTTTGATTAAAGTTTCTTCCTGCTGCACTAATGAGAATTTATTCATCAACTGTAAGTTTCATGAGTTTTGTGAAAATCATTAAACTTAAAGCTAGTTTGCATATCCTACTAGTTGACAACCAATTGTCATTGCTGCCTGTCGCAAATTGTAATTGCTATTCAGCTGGCTGAAAAGTAGCTTACTAAATAGATAATATCTGGGTTCCGCCATGCGCTAGTTTTTAATTTCTTTGGTTTGAGAAGTGAGTAGGAGAATATATGTTGATTTATGCTCTGTTCGTGCTGTCAGCACTTTGTAATTATCCAAAAGCAATAATTAAAAATACCCCTTGAAATAAGTTGCTCTGAAAGTGTATACAAACTCTGCAGTGCTTGGCAGTACAAGCTCGGAATTAGAGAATTATTCCTAAAACGAAGTTTAATTTAACATTAAATCAGAACGGAATTTAGACAATATTTGCCACAAACAACGTTTAGTTCTTAACTTTAAGCAGCTTTAAAGCACATGAAAGCTGTACATAAATTTGAATGCTCAGCGAAGAGCTTTGTCGAAACTATCTGCTATTTGAGTTATCATTGAATTCAAGACTCATGCAAGCGAAAAGCTTTGTTATAAACAGCATAAAAGCACATTGAAGTTTGAATTCTGTCTAGAAAGCTTCGCACAGAGCTAAGCTGAAATAAAAAGCTTTTCATTTTAAGAATAAAACTGAACAGAACCAGAACAGTTAACATTTTAAAGCACACAGCTTAAAGCACTTTAAAGCTCAGCTACAACTATTCTCTTCATAAATTATTAATTATTAAATTATCAGTTATAAAATTACGAAATTCCAATACACGAATGCAGTAAAAACAAAAGTTCTGATTAAGCTTTAAGCGAGCTTTTAAGCACAACGACAACATATATATTCTTAAGTGGCTTCAATATACTTTAATGAGCTTTCATAATGTCCACAGTTGTCTACACTAAAATAGCAAAAGCTCTTCTAAGTTTGACCTTAATTTCAGTGGAGGATAACACATAGTCCATAGTGGCTATGTGCATATGCTGGTCAGGTGTAGCTCTTGTTTACCTATTGCCAAGGTAATTAGAACGTTGACGCTAATTTGATGACTCGTCAATAGGTCAGCGGAAGGGGCAGTACGGCAGGAATAAATGTAACTGGAGTCGCCCAAAGGGGCTGCTTTATGGCCAATTAGACGCTCAATGGGGTAGAAAATTGTTGGAGTTGTGGGTTTTTTCTACCACAAATTCAGTGTCTATCGATTGATCAAGGGTTCAGAGAGAAGTTAGTGTGGTTACTCACCCGGGAGCCCTCCGATGTGGTTACACAGGTGCCGCCGTTATAGCAGCCGAGTTTAATGCAGTCAACGTCGCCAGATTTTTCTTCGGCACCGCCTGCACCGCTGCCGGCACCACCGGTGGCCACCGTATTGGCACCGTCTGTCTCCTCACTGCTCTCGGTTACCTGCGACTTGGTCGGCGCTGCTACCTCTGGCTGTCCGGGCGTACTGTAAACATATATGGGTGGTGTGGGTGGTGGCATAGTCTGTGCAGACTGTGTAGATGGTGGCGTTGGCGGTACCGTAACTGCCGACAAGCTGGGCACTGTTGGTGGTTCCGTGGGCAAAGGTGTGGGTGCCAGGGTAACCACAGTTCTGGGCGTGGTTGTCTCGCGAGGTGACTCTACGGTCATCAAAGGCGGCCCAAGCAAATCCTCTGTAGGCAGAGACTGGGATGTTGTTACCTCCACAGGCATGGGCACGGTTACAGGTGGTGGCAGTTGTGTGGTGCTCGGCTCCCATTCGGCTGCTATTTCTGTGGCTGCATGAGTTGTTTGTGGTTGTTGGCGCTGGGTTGTTATTGCCGGCAAATGTGTTGTGGTCGGAAGCGTTGTGTTACTCTCCAGAATGGTTACCACAATGTGCGGAGTTTGTGCCGTGGTTAGCTCCACGCTGGGCGGTTCATAGTCCAGTGGCGCTGTGGTGGTTTCTTGTTGTATTGGTGGTTGCACTGTCGTAAATCGCCCAGCGCTGGTGCGATGTGTTGTGATGAGCACCTCGGCTGGATAATCAGTGAAGAATGGTGCCGCTGTGGTGGGCATTTCGGTCCACAAATGTCGCGTTGTCTCCTCCAGAGACGACTTGGTCGGGCGCACTGTGGTTTCTGGCGGAAAATAGGGTGTCGGTGTGGGTGCATAGTCCACAGAGATGCTTGTTTCAAACGTGGTTACGCGATGCACAAAGATGCTGCTGGCTGTGGTTACGGCTACCGGCTGCTCTACAGACTCGGAGCTGCTCGATGATGCATAATCGACGGCAATTGTTATGGTGGGTGGTTGTGTCACAGTGGTGCGCATTGTGGTGGTGGGCTCCTCGCTGGAGCTGCTGCTGCCACTGCCGCTAACATCAAAACGCCGCACTGTTGTGTATTCCTCGGAGGTAACCAATTCCGAAGACGTTTCGGCTGAGGAGGAGGTGACACCCGGTGCTGGTATTGGGGGTAGAGTAGTGTAGATGCCGTGACTTTCCTCGGAAGACGAGGAGGAGGCAGAAGAAATGCCGCCAGCTGTTGCTGGTGGGGTGGGTCCAGGCAATGGCTGTGGCTCAGCTGTAGGCTCTGTGGGCTCTGGTTGTGGTCTGATGGTTGTTGGCGCCTTGTCTAAGCTGTGGCTGTCGCTCTCTGGTGGTGCTACCGTTACTCGTACCTCCACCACGGTCTCTTCCGATGAAGACGATGCAGACGACGAAGATAGCTCAATTGGCGCTATAGTGGTTACAGCTGGTGCTGGTGGTGTAGTTGGTGGTGCACTTGGTGCCATAGTCGTTTCTGGTGGCGTAACCGGACGCGCAGTGGGCGGTGCTAGTGTAGAGGAGGGCGGCATCGAAGGTGTAACGGGCGGTGCAGATGTTGCTGGTGCTGTATAGTTGCAATCAAGCGATTCCTCGCCCACCATCAAGCATTCGCATAGCATGCCCGTTAGCAGTGGGGGACACGAACAGGAGAAGGTATCAACGCCGTCAATGCAAACGCCTCCGTTCATGCAACGCGGTCCCAGCTGACACTCGTCGTATTGGAATTCGCACTTCTCGCCGTGATAATCGGGGACACAGTAACATGTGGGTATGTTCTCCTCCATCAGGCAGAGGGCATTGTTCTGGCAGGGATTGTCCGCACAGATGAGTATCTCCTCTTCGCAATTGACGCCCGTATAGCCCATGGGACAGGCACAGGCGTAGGCAGCCAATTTGTCCACACAGACGCCACCGTTCTGGCAGGGCGAGGAGGCGCACTCATTGATCTCCTCCTGACAGATGCGGCCATGCCAGCCAGCTGAGCACTTGCAACTAAACTCCAAGCCACGACCCTCAATGCATTCGCCGCCGTGTTGGCAACGGGCGCCAGTGCCTGCAACCAAGGATCACAATGTAAGCGACACTGAAACTTACTCAAACTGAACTTACCCGTGTCGCAGACGGCCACATCCAGTTCGCAGTGATCCCCCAGATAGCCGGGCTGGCAGGTGCAGGTGTAGCCATTGTTACGGTCACGGCAGAGTCCGCCATTTTGACATGGATTTGACATGCATTCGTCCACATTTTCCTCACAATTTGAACCTGTTCGTTCGCGGCGTTGACATTCGCGTGATGTGACCAAAAAACAATGGGACAGACATATAAAGAGACAGACAGAGAGAGAGAGAGAGAGAGAGAGGGGGAGAGATGAGAAAGTGACATTAATTGATGGCACCGCAATGTGTGACTTGTGTTCAGTTCCATAACGTTCCATTCCGTTGCGTCTCGTCCCGTCTCGTTTCGTTTCGTTTCAGTCGTCCGAAGTTTGCAACAATTTCTGTGTCCTTTTAATTAAAAATTTATGTCTGTTGGTTAAAGTTGTCGCTTGCAGTGTGGCGTGTAAATGGCTCATAAATAAAACTTGTTACTTTTATACGCATTCCAAATGCAAACTCTATATGTATGTATATTCGTATTATATATTTATGAAAAGCTTTGCCCTTTTGGCAAATATTATTTATAGTTCAGCATTGTTTGCCAGTTTGACTGACATGACTGAAAATTTACTGACCATTGAAGCTCTCACCTTGATTCCTAGCAAAAAATTTCATTTCGTATCTTTTCGTGTTCATTTCGATCAGCTTCAAAGGAGCTGCTGTCCTAATTGCGTTTCAGCTGCAAACCACCCCAAAATCCAAATATCATTTTTTCTTCTTTTCAATTAGTGCATCAATATATTCCATTCAAAGCATTTCATTTAACCCATTGCAAAAAAAAAGAACGTTGCAAGCTCTTTTTTCAAGCGCCTAACTAGATGGTTACAAACAAATGTATACAATCGAAGTGAAATTGAATGACTTTTCATTATATTAAGCAATGAAAGAGTTCACTCTCTCGCTCTCTTTCTCATGATATATCTGTCTCGCCTCAGTGTGTCTGTCTATCCATTACAACCTTGCAGCGCGCTGTTTGTTGCTTTATCTGACATCGCACAACCAAGTGGAAAGCGCACAACTTTTTCGATACAAGCGCATCAATGGCAATCAAAACAAAACTTCAAGTGCTGATTTTGGTGCATTCAATATAAACAATTCAAAAGTACACACACAGATATATATATATACACCCTTTAACTGATGACTGTCAAGCATTCAAATAAGTAGAAAACTCTAAACATTTTGTTCGTCACACAAGTCGAAGTTGTTATGCTCTAGCAGTTCTGCTTAGCGTTTATTGAATAAAACCATTTTCTCTTTGATTTTTAGCTTTTCATAGAAGTTTCTTAGCGAGAAAAAAAACTAAGCCCAACTAAAAGTTTTTGGCATTAAAGCTGAAGCTATTCAAAAGCTGCCACTGGCGTAAAAAAAAGATATACAGAGCTGAGGCTAGCTATAGATATCGAACTATGCATACACCGAAAGATATATTTATATATATAGTTATAGTAAAATCATGCAGAAATAGAAATGTATATATATATATAGCTGCAGTTATATAAAGATATCTATACAAAGTACAGGCTGCTCGAAGCGCAAGAAGTTTGCTTACATGAGAAATATATAGTTAATATGTTCGATGATGCTATATTAAACAGTTGTTATACCCTTCAAGTTAGTTGTTTGTTACACAGAACGAAGACACAACATGAGCAGCACAAGCAACAACAATAACAACAACAACAAGAACAAGAACAATGCTTGAGAATACTTTTCAATTTTCTGCTCAACAACTACAAAAGACGCTGACGACAAGATGGCAGCCGCTGTGAGAGAGACAGAGAGAGAGATAGACTGAGAAAGGAGGTGAAGAGTGCGCAGTCAGTGGTTGCCAGTGGCAGCAACTGACGGGTAAACAGACAGGCGGACGGACAAAGGCAACAGTGGCAAGGCTTTGGCAGTGCTGAGAAGTGCCCCATTGTGTATGCTATAATTTTGCGTTGCGTTGTTTGTGGTACTGGCAACAGTGCGTATGAGTGATTTTTTCTCAGCTTCTCAAGCGTGCGTGTGTTTGTGTTGCAAATTTATTGCTCGCGAAATGTTTTGTCTGAACTTTTTTCTCTTTATTTTTTTTTGAAAGAATTTATTTGGCTGCCTCCTTTTGTCGGCCCGCATATACATGCTTTTAGTTTTCTATTTTGGCAACAAGTTGGCTCCAAGTTTATCCTGTGCCAAAAGTTTTGCTTGCTTCGTATCTCTCAAGTGTCTGTGCATCTGTCTGGCTGTCTGTCTTTGCGACGGACGAGAAAAACTTGTACAAAAGCACTTCCAAGTGTCGAAACTAAAGTGTCAAAAAGCCTGCTCCGTAGCCAGCAGCTAGCAAATTCTTTGTCCACACTTTGTCTAAATTGTAGCGCAGCAACTTTTTAATTTAATGCGAAAAAATTGCATTTAACATAGCGACAATTGAAACGAGTAACAAAATAATAATGTACATGCCCAGGTGGGCAAAGGGCGTGGCAGCAACAATTTATCACTTGCGCTCATAAATAACACAAAATACACTGATGGACATAAAAATGTAGCTATGCAGATGCACACTCATAAATGGCCAGACCAAAAGATAAATGTCTCTCTTTTCAGTGTGGGAATTTGTGGGGGTGTGTGTGTCTATTTTGTTTATAATGCAACTGTGTTGCCAGTCTATGCATGTGGGCGGTTGGGTGCGCCCGAACAGACGAACGAATATTAAATTTGCATAAGCACTAAATCAACACAATGAACAAACTGTGTCAGAGCCAGCTGCAGAGTACAAGTAAAAGCAAAAAAGATAAACAGCTGCTACAGACTAACAGATGCGCTATAGAAATCTAGAAATCAGCTGAAGAAGCAGCTTTAAGCGTCTGAGATTATCTTAAAAAGTTAAGATTTTGTAGGTAAGAAAAACCAAGAACTATGAATTTATGTAGCTAAAATATTTAGGCACTAAATATGCATGTAATAAACTACAGAAATTTGAATATTTATGATCGTAGTTCAACGAGAGAAATTCTTTTAAAAAATTTTGTAAAAAATATAAAACTTTATATATTTAAATATCTCTTATGTCTTATAGTCCTATCTATATTTGCTTGACTTGAGCTATTTTTATTACAAAATTTAAAAATTTTAAAATTTATTTTTGAATTACATAAATTGTTCGAAAATTGTATAAGAAATACCCCATTTAATAAACTTAAATATTTATTTAATCCCTATGTCTCATACTCATATCTAGATTTACTTGATTTATTTTGTAAACATTTAAGCATCATTTATTTACGCCTTTTAACAGCTTGACTTTTGTTTAGTTTTAGCATTTGAATTTAAAGCTTGACTAATCAAATCACTTCGTTTACAAATTCAAACGTTTTGAAATTCATAGTTTCAATTGCTTACATCCATTTTACTGAAGACTTATGGTAGAATAATTGATACATTAGCTATACAAAGGTTGCTCTAATAAGCTATAAATATTTTGTTATATGTCTGCTCATTGATTTTCATACACATCAATATTTCAGCTGTAGTTTGTTTATATCAAGCTTAATTTTGACATTTGCAGTTAATATTAACAATTCATATGAATTTCAAAAGGCACTTTAAGCTAAGTAAAAGCATTTTAGTCGTTAGAGAAGTGGTTTATACATAATAGAGCCATGATAATTAAAAATAGCTAAAAAGCACATTAAAGCTTCAAAGACAATTATAACTATAAAAGCTCAAAAACATTAGAGCCTTAAAAACATATGTCAACTATAAATGCATTTGTGAACTTCAAGCTTACTTTATGAACTTTTGTTATCTACTCAATTATCAATTTGTTATCTACTCAATTGCAAGCTTAAAGCTCATCTGAAATGAAAGCCAAACTCTATAGTTTTTCTGGATTAACCAAACGTACTCAGGAAATAAAAAACTTTAGTTTAAGTTAAAGACGTTAAGTAAATAATCTAATACAAAAGTTGTAATTAAAGTTAAATCCATGAGAACTTTGTGACCAAACAGCTTCACACATACGCACGTTCTTTGACTTTTGCTAGCTTCTATCTCCCTCTTACTCTGCCTCCGTCTTCCTCCCCCTATCGTTTGCTCTTTGTTGCAAACTAGACAACATGGGCATGAGGTGAGCTCTTTCAACTTCTGCTCAGCTAACAGTTGATGCCAATTGCTTGCCTTATGATGTCAGCGTGCGTGTGTGTGTGGGTGCGTGCGTGTGTGGGTGTTTAATCAAAGATATTAAACCGCTACATTCAAGATTTTCGATGCTCTGACACACGCACACACGCATGCCAAGGGAATCGAGTTGAATTTCTGTTGCATACCTTGCGGTGTCGTGGTTAAAGATTTAACTTATGCAAAGATTTTGCACCTTAAATGGGTTTAGATTTCGCAATATATGCTGAGGGCTAAGCTATAATTTAAGTTGAATTTCGTTAAGTTTGGAGCCTGCAATGGAGCTGCAGCCGTATGTTCAGCTCTTGAGTAATGAATGCTCTTGTCCAGTGGCGTATTTCATTGAGCCAGCACAGCCACTGACTCATCCATTAAATCAGCAGCAAATGGACGATGGGCGTTGGGCGTGGGGAGTGGCGCGTGGCGCGTGGGGCATGAAACATTGGTCGTTGGGCGTTTGCAATTCAATTTGTTTATGGGCCGTGCCGTTGGTTTATGATTTGATGGAGCAATACTTGAAATGGTACAAATACTCGCTCCTCAATTTTATTTACTGTTGTTAGCTTTAGATGCATTTTATAGCCTGCATAAATACAGATCTGGGAATTTCATTTTGGGTAAGGGAGATCATGGGAAAGAGGGAAAGGGAGAGAGGGGGAGTGACAGAGAGAGAGAGAGAGAGTGAGGGAAGGTTGATGCAGTAAAGGAAGTTTCTAATATGTGTATTTATATGCTTTAATAAATTTTTATAAATTTTTTATTTACTTCATTAAACGTTTTTGGGTTTATATTTCTTGATAAGCATTAAAGAAACTCAAACAAAAAATTAAAGAAAAAGGTTTTCAAATGTGCGACGCATTATCAGCGCATTGACGATGAAATTCACGTTGCAATAACTAAGGAAATATGTTATGTAAATTTTGAAAACTATTTTTACTTATCCCGCAGTCT